TGCAGTAGTAGGTTTTTTTTATAGTCTTTAGAGTTAAATGTGAATATTTGACAGAAATCTCCCAGGTTGGGGTGAAAGAGGGTTAAATGAATGCATTTGATCATTCGCCTCAATTCGGTACCCATCATTTCAAGGCCTGTGTGGCGTTGTCCTGTGGTGTATTTATGACTGTGGCTATGAAGGAGCAGTTCTTTAATAGGTACAAGTACAAAGTATAAAAACAAAAGGATCTATGTGCTGATCATGAAAGAATATGCTAGCCATTCTAATGTAGCTCTGCCAAGTACTTGATTGTGATTTGTTTTTATTTCCAGCTACTTGGTTGCCTCAAGATCTGGAGCTCCTGGTGGCCACAAGCTTGGACTCAATCTTCTTCTGTGGTCCGGCCAGGACCATGGGGGAGGTAATCCCAGCAACAAGAGCATCACAGTATCTCCCTGCCTGTGGCTTTCGATTAGCATCACGTCAAGGGAGTCCTCATGCCACCAAGTGTTAGGTATGCTACTCGAAATAAGCATTCTTACCTATTCTTGAAGTGAAACAGCAAAAGCACTACTAAGCCTAAAATGCAAAAAACATTGAAATCTCGGTTTGGATGGAGTTCCAATTACAAAAAGGCGTCTGCAGACATGATTCACATGTGAACTTAAAGCCCACGGATGTAGGTTCGACGGAGTCACAGAAATAACTTCCCGCAGATGGCTTCGCTAGTGCCATACCCAAACAAATTCTTAAAATAATCATTGTGTTACGTTGGTGTCATTAATCTTATGTACCTACCCCACCCAGCAGTCGGGAGATGTGAAATATAAAAAAAAATGGGAACTTGCACATTGTCAGCTCTGCAAAGATAATATATTGAACCGAGCATAGCACGTTCAACTTAAGAAAGCAATTCAGTGCAGGCCTAGTTTTAAGCTTGACATATTTGTTATTGCCCTTTATAATGAAGTAAAAACTGCTTAAGTTGTGGCCCACTACAGGCTTTCTATTAGTGTTAAAAAGTGTTATGGCAGTTTAAACAGCTCGCTCCAAATATTTTCTTGAAATGCATAGGTTTATGGAAATTATTATGTGGATGTTTGCAGACAGTCATGGTGAGACCAATCTTTAGTGCCAAGTGTTCCACTTACTCAGAGTTGGTTGAGTCTGTAAATAGTGTAGGTCGCAAATTAAATTTTTATGGTATGCAATGGGCACAACCATCCGTAATGACTAGCTCTACCTAGGGGAACTTTATACGTTTACTACGGCAAGATGGTTTCACAAAACTAAGTGTTTAGTTTATTCAACTCCTGCACTAACCTTATCTCTAGAAACTTTTTATATTCTTTACGATGCTGAGTTAGGATTCTGGTAGTAGTTTTTTTAGAACTACGCTAGACATTTCCAGTTCATAATTTTTCTCGCAAAGAATTCAAGAGAGCCAAACCCTGTAATATACGGATGGAACTCGCAGAATGATACGACTGGCAGTTTGAAACATTCGGCACTGTAACAGTAACAATGACATGTCACTTGCCTATGTAATGCTCATTGTCACAATCAAACTGCCTTTTCCGTCTGCACTCATTTTCAGTGGACTCATTCAGCGAACTCGCACCCGAGACTGCAGCGCTGGGTTCTGCGAAGTAATTTGCATGAATATAGATGCAACAGGTTTCTTTTGAGTGTGCGTCTAACACATATTCTTCATATTGAATCTGCTACTGTATTCATGACCATGTGCTTAATTGTATCCACATTCCAGCTTATTTTTATTTTGACACTTGAGTTTTCTTCAGTACTTTTCTCAACATCTGTGCTTGTTGAGCCGTGCTCAAGACCATTAATCTTGTCTTTCACTATTACATTAATATATAAAACTGTTGATGCCGAGTGAGAATTCAAGGTCCCGAATCTGTCGTGCGAGTTAAATAAGAACCAATAAAAAGCTCTACAAAGGAAATTTTGTTAAAGGAGGCTGTATAAGCATTAAAATAGCACATGCCATGCTTAAAAAAAAACAAATTCTTGTTAGGTATGCAAGGATGACACTGCTGTTTCTGATGTGTCACAAAAAAAAATCAGTGCCATACAGTGTTCCTTATGGAAGTACAAACTGTCGAATTCAAAGCCCAGAAGTTTTATTCAAGAATGTTCCTCAATACAAATGTATTTAGAGATCTGAGCCACTGACTCATACATGACTATGTGGCGAACATTCATTTTCATGTGCATTATAGTTTACAAGGTCTAGTCTGCATTGATTTATTGCATTCATGCTGAAACTGGGAGGGGTTCTCTGGGTATGAATAAAGATATAAACATTTCTTGAAATCAAAACATTTGAGAACGGACAAAAGGAAGGATCTGAGTACGGTATCTTAGATTCTCTTCTCTTTTTCTTATCTCTAATTTTCATCTTATTTCACCTGTTGCATTTAGTTTTTTTAGCGCAGCTCTTAGCACCCGTTTCCGCGTTTCGCGGCGTCGCCCTCGGCGGAACCGCCCAACTAAACTTGGCAGGAAATTGAATTAATGTTGCGGTCATGTGACGTTAATATTTCCGCTAAGTCTAGCTGAGAAACTGAATTTTTTATGGATGACATGACACGGTCATGCAACGTCATTTTCCCCGCTACTTTTAGTGGGAAAACTGCATTTGTGTTGAGGTCATGTGACATCAATTTCCGCGCTAAATCTTGTGGAAAGCTTTACCCGCTAAATTTAGTGGGCAAATTTTCCCGCTAAATTCAGGGAAATGTTTCGCTGAGTAGGAGGGTTAGGGGGTGGGGGGTCATACCCTCCCATCCTCCTCTTCAAGATCTGTGCTCTAATTTCACATTACAGAGAATTGTAAACGTCTCATATTTCATCTCATGTTTATTCAACTTTTATATTGCAGGTGCGCTTGCAGCACAAATCTGGGTTGTGCTGATCCTCTACGCACAAGTTAGGAACTCCTGAGTGGCAAGAGTGGGAGTTTGGTCTGACAGCTCAAGGGACACCATTGTTCAGTATTGAATTTTTAATTATCTTCTTTTGAGCAAAGTTAAGCTTTGCTGCTTGCAATTCTTCTAAAAATAAATACCTGCAACCAAATTTACCACGTCACGACATTTTGCCTCTGCTCTTAGTGCTCCTGGTGAGCCTCGGATAAGAGCTTACTGGTGTGCAAACATCATGCTTGTTTGAAACCACTCACTAATGTAGACTCGCTGACATCCAGCATTCCAATGAAACGCTGGATGTCCACAGGTCTTTCTTGAACAATGCAAGCGGGAAATGAACCATTCAATCGTGTCGTATTGGGGGACGTTCTAGAGAGTGTTTTTTTGTATGTTTTACAGATTTTTTTTTTTAAAAAGCCGTAAAAGCTACATTTACGCGGTCTGTGCACGTGAGTTATAAGGCCAGGGCGGCATAGTATAAAAGGCTAATTTGTAATGATCAGTCAGCTTATTACAGAGATGTGCCAGTCTTCTTTCAGAAAACTAGATTGGAGGTTCATCCTAGCATAGTTTTATCCCGCGAATCTGAATATCCCGTTCGTTTTCCACAAAGATATAACTAAACGTGAGAAAACACAAAAAAACATCCTACCAATAGTGACATCGTAAGAAGACCTTTCGGCCGCCAAGCGTGTCGCTTAAGGGCCGCGCGTCCAATCTCAAGTTTTCTAGGTATATTCTCCCGCATTGGCACCAGTCGTGACACATTTTTCTGTCCTTTTAAAAAATAGCACGTGCGTGCATAGCTTTGATAGGTGCTGAAGATGCATGAGCAAAGATTTCGAAAGCCACTTTTGTGACGTCGCTCTACAGGGAAGTGCTTTCACAGCGCTTTAAAAATGACTCTATGCAGCCTCGATTCATAAAATTACCAAATAATTTGCATATTTGAGATTCTGGAGGTCATATGAAGATTTAAAAGTACTTTCTCAAATACAAAACCGCTTCAGCCTCTCTCTAAGTATAGTATGTTCCTGAAATTTTAATCAGTGAGAAAAGACCCATGGTTCCAATTAGAAACTTGCTAAGCATCATCAAAACACACTAAATCAACTTTCTTTGTGAAGATATAAAACAAGAGCAGCATTTTATGGCGTTCTAAAAAAATGGTCAATTTGTACGCGTTTCCAGACTTTGGTTTCTTACCAGAGCGCATCTTTGCACCTGTGGTCCTGCTGCCCGGTGGCCGCAGTGCGAAGCCGCCCCCTCGCCTCCCTCGTAGGATGGAGGGAAGCAAGGCGCACGTGCGTTGCGTGTCTAAGGGGGAACAGGACCTTGGGCGCAGAGATGAGCTCTGATAAGAAACTGAAACCTAGAAACTCGTGCAAATAAAGCGTTCTTACAGAACGCGTAAAAGGCTACCCCTGCATTATATCCTTCTAAAAAGAGTTGATTTTGTGGTTTTCAATGACTCAGCAAGTTTCTAATTGAAACCATATTTTCATTTTCACTAATTAAAAAGTTAATTAACAAATTGTATTTAATTATCTGACTGATTGTTACGATTAGGTCCCTATACTACGTACGCCTGGCCGTATAACTCGCCTGCACAAACCGCATTAATTTAGCTTTCACGACCTTTCTAAACATATATGTAAAGCTTAAAACTAAATCGCCCTGTACAACAGTGAAAAGGTGAAACCAGCATGTTGGAGCCATACGGCTCCACCGTGCTGGTATCGCCTTTTCGCTGGTATAGGTTGTCCCATATTACGTTATGCATGTATGGTTCCACGCGGTTCCGCCGTATTCCACTACGCTGGTATAGGATGTCCCATAATACGACACGCTTGTATGGTTCCGCCTACCTGTATCGTTCCGCTTTAATCCACTATACTGGATCCGCCGATTCGCTTGTATAGGATGTCCCATATTACGGTTACGCTTGTATGAGCCTTTTCCGTCGTCTTTCCATCATCGAAATTTTCCAACAGGGCAGTATAATAGAGGAACGCTTTATTCGAATATAAAAAAATATCAACTTCTAATTTTTAGCGTTACAGCGTTAGTGGAATTGAACACTGAAAACAGATTATTACAGAGATAGACTGGTGGCTGGGCCTACCAGCAGGCGCCCCTCAGGAGTTTTGTTGAAGCCGGACACCCATAATGTGCAATTGAAGCCATTTTGCGGAAGATCTAGAATAAAAAGCGAATAAGACATTGTATATGCTGATCACTATACATTTACAATTCAGGACATTTAAATACATTACCACGCTGTTCAACGTGAATATATGGTGGGATTTAAACTTTACACATTTGTAAGAAATGAAAAAGAAAAAAAAAAGCCCAACAACGTCATTAATGCGGTTTGTAAGAGTGAGTTATATGGCCTGGGGGACATAATGTAGGGGGCTAATTGTCACAATAAGTTGGCTAATTAATTAATATAGGTTCATTCAGTGTTCTTAATTTTTTAAAATAAACATGTTTTAATCAGAAAGTTCCTGAGCTACATTGAAAAGAAAAACAACAAATCAGTCAATTTGATAAAGAGTAGGAGCACGTGAAAGCACCGTGGAGCGCAAAAGTTACCACTAGTTCAGCAGGAGTAAGGCCACCGGTCCGATAACGCGGCCGCTCGGTTTTTCTGTCTTTGATCATCCGAGCTTTCTGACAGCCAGCTGTCTGCCTGTCGCACGACTGGTAACTTTAGCAAACTACTTATCTTCCCAAAAGCTCAGTATTTTTTTTAAATACTGATTTAGTGGTTTTTAGTAACGCTCAGCCGTTTATTAATCAGAACGATATCATAATTTCAGACAAAAAGAAATAAAAAAATAATGGACTAAACGACGAATAATTTCAACTGCAGCTGAGTTTATTCGCAAGGAAACAAACTATAGCCATTCACACAGACAGGAAAGGGAGAAGACAAAAATATATGCCGCTGCAAAGTTGGCGGAATCGAGCCAGACTGTCTGGCCTCCACTCAGACACCAGATCACCAGCAGACAACCACCGCCAAGCTACCCGGCATGATAATTCCCGTCAAAGTCATGTGAACCGATTGAAAAACCGCATTCTTCCCCCGCCCCCTCCGACCATCCACCCCTCGACAACAACACCACACTCACGGAAAAGGAAGTTTCTCATGAGTTTGTTCAAAACTATAGACGGCTGGCTCACGCAATTTCCGTGGTTCCCTATCCTCAATGTCCGCTTTAATATTCTTTTAAAAGAATCGCTTTCTTTGCACGCGATTGAAGTGCATTCCAGTAATGGAGAGCACGAATCACACTCAGTAGCACGTTTGGCCCGTTCGGATGGTTGATAAAGTTTTTTTGTTTTTTTTACACTTCTTTCCTGTTGTAGGAGGCGGTCATTTACACACTGACCAGTCTGGCCCACATAGTAGAACACACAATCAATCAAAATTTTGTGCACAACTTTTTTTGACGGAACCTTTTCGAGGATCCTTAAGAGTTTGTGTGTGTGTTCTTTTTTTTTATTACACTGCCCGGTTCTCGGTAAAATGCGATTGTTATATGTCAATCTTACCCTGTCTTAAAAAAGGACATTTACTTCGAACTCCTGTGCCAAGGCTTTAAGAATATGCAAAAACCCGTTAAAGTACGAAATCACAACAACATTTATATTCGATGTCCTTTCGATGCTTTTATGAAGATTTGATGACGACTGTGATCTGCGCCCCAAATGAATACTATGGAAATAAGGTTCGAGATTATATTATCTACGAAGCACCGGAGCTAAGCCTTGCGGCTGGTTCTGCGGTCAATGGGAAGTTGAAATTTCTACATCTACAGTTGTTAAATGATAAAGGTTCATGTTGGTTGTATGGAAGAGAAGAACCGAAAAGGGTCTTATTAGACATGGTGCACTTTCAAAGCTCGTAAAAGTTGGTGTCGTAAAGTCTCTTGTATGCAATAATGTAAAAAGTTTGCAAATTCATTTTGCCGACAATGCGCTCGTGAGACAGTTAGATTGGTTGAGGCAAGCTTGGTATAGTTTGGATTTCTTCATGTAAGTTTTGCGTAGGCGAGTTGTAGAAAGGCCTAAAGGCTCTGAGAGGACTCCCAAGGGAAATGTTGTTGTAGATTTGTACTTTCACAGGTTTTTGCATATTCTTAACTTTTGGCTCAGAGTTTACAAATAAATGCCTTTTTTAAGACGGACTTCGGTTAGGTAGACTTACACCGTTTGTGTCTGAGCAAGAACAAGGCTGCGTAAAAAAAGCTTAGGGATCCTCCAATTGGTTGCTTCAAGGAAATTGTGTACAAAATTCCATTTGATTGTGGGCTCTGCTGTGTGGGCCAGACCGGTCAGTTTGAAAATAACCGCCTCCTGGGACATAAAAAAGTGTGAAAAACGTGTGTTCATCACCTAAGCTAGCCAAACATATTGCTGAAAGTAACGCGTGCTCACCATCATGGAAATATACTTGAATCGTGTGCAAACAAAACGATTCTTTCAAAATAATCTTAGAGGAAACCTTGAGTATAGGGGACCACATAATCCGCGTGAGTCAGCTCCCTATCGAAAAGACCATAAGAAATTTTTGATGGTCCATAAAACTTTCTTGATGGCCAATCAAAATTTTGATAGAACATCACACCATCTTGTCGGACCATCACACCTTCTTGGTGGTCCAACATACCTTATCTGATGGCCCAACAAGATCATTTTAATGGTCCATCAGACTTTTTTGATGGTCCAACAGGCTTAGTTAATGGTGTCTGAAGACCATCAAACACTTTTTGATGGTGGCTGATGGACCATTAAGGCCGGTTCTCACATGCAGCGAAGCGCTGATGTAGCGCTCCTCACGTGCCGTCAGCTACTTATCGTCTGCCTAGAGCAACAGTTTTGACGGTGCGATACAAAGCTGATGAACGCTCCCATCAGCACGCGCTTAGCGCGAGGTCATCGCTATGCTTGTAGCGCTCCGCTGCATGTGTGAACAGGCCTTTAAGGGCTTGTGTTTGTAGCTCAGAGACCGTCAAAACGTTTCTTGTAGTGACTAGCTGACAATCGAAACGCTTTGAAGTAGCCCGGGTCAGACTTTCAGGGTATCTCGACAGACCATCAGAATGCCAAACAGTCAGGTTCTTTCCTCCACCGATAGGTGGAGGAAAGATCCTGACTATATTCGCGAGGTTCCAGCTGCGGCCGAGAGGAGGCGCCAATGGTCTCACGTCGTCGTGCATGCGTGAAGTACAGTCGGTGCGGAAAGCTGACCGCGGCGTGGCTTAATACCCAGGGTGTTCAATGCGTAATAATCCGCCTCAAGAATCGTCTTAGGATACTCGAAAAGTAATGAAGACACCTTCTTATAAACTGGGGTATGTTTTTGCAATCATAGTTTTGTTTTAAATTTTTTCATTGTCCGTTGGTGATACAATTTGTCGATCCGCTTTGTATGTCAAGTAGATCATGTTCACAATCTAAGTGACAGAGAATGCGCCGAAAAACGTACTTTGCTTGATAGAAAATTAATTTAATAGTCGTAGATGTACTTCTATTATTTGTAAGGAAAAACTGAATACTAAATATTTGTAAGGAAAAACGTTGACAAAGCCACGAATGCGGTAGTACGAGGCTTACCGCATTCTCGGGCCGACAAGGCCTTGTATATTCCACGCTGTCGCACCACGCCGTCATGCCCAGCATGGATGATGGGGACGGAGTGTAGATAGCACTCAACGGACACGGTTGAAGTTGCTGCGCGTAGTGGAGTCTCGAAAGTAGTGAGTGGATCATGCACATTTTCTCTTCCGTTTTGTTTTTGCGGTTTAATAATTCAACGTGCAATCATTTCTAAACAGAAAAATAGCAACCCATAACAAAAAAATACAAACGTTGCTTTCAGGCGTCTACGGGAATTATGAAACTCTTTAGATGCTCTTTTTTGAAATAATAATGGGCACAGAATAAAGTTGACAGTTGACTGCAATGGAATCTTTGCCTTCTACCGGTACATATCGGTAATTAGAAATGTATACCGACCAACAGACCATCAAACCATTAGGCCATCAGATGTCCCAAAATAGGACAGACCATCACACCATCATACCATCAATGTCCCAAAACACGACAGACCATTAGGCCATAACACCATCAAGCCATGAAACAATCAAACCATCAAGCCTTCATACCATCACACAATCAGGCCATACGACCATCCATATCCCAAAAATACGACAGATCATCTGCCTGATGGACCATCGGGATTTTATCTCAGGGTCTTTTCGATAGGGAGCCATCCATAGATTCGAACGAACGCGCGAGAAAGTTCTTTCTGTTTTGAGCGCGTCGTTGTACTTGTCGTGGGGTGTGTGGACAGAAAGGACGGGAGAAAAGTACGGACTTTCGATCGGTTCACAAAGCCTTGACGGAGGTGTATGCCGGGTAGCCTGACGGCGAGTGTCTGCTGGTGATGTGATGTTGGAGTGGAGGTCAGCCAGTCGCTCAGTTCCGCCGACTTTGCGGCGGCATGCTTTTTTATCCTCTCTCTTTCCTATTTGTGTGGATGGCCATAAATTGCTGTTCCCTTGTGAATAAACTCAGCTGCGTTTTAAAGCTTTCGTCATCTTGTCCGATTTTTTTAAAATTTCTTTTGTCTCAGGGTTTTGATTATAATGTTTTCTATCCAACTCGCCTGCATACTTTCGCTCCTTAGAACGATGGGTTATTTTTACTAGATTAAAAAGCATTTAACAAGTTTTGAATAATTATTCGACTTATCGTGAATATAAGCTTCCTATATCATAATCCCCTGGGCCCGTTTGCTCGAAGCTGGTTAACTAACCGCGGTTAACCGGATTTCCCTACGAGGGGGAATTTTAGGTCACGTGACCTGCAGAGTCGGGACGCCGGAGTAAAATAGTACCTAGCATCAGACAATATGTCCAATATGGCTGCTACGGCCGCTCGTCACGCTTGGGAACATTTATTTTTACGAAGATGCGTCATCCTCGTGTCACGAAAAGGACATTTCAACACAAAGTCTACTGTCGGAGTTGACGGCGAGCATGCTGTGGGAGCAGGGCCACGCCTGACTGGTTTCGTCGAGTTTGAATAACATCACGCACCGCCCTCTGAAGTGGACTTGTTTTATTGAATGCTACAGTCAGCGGGATCTTCAAAACGTATATCCTAGGTAAGTGCCGCGATGT